GTGGTTGAAGCAAGCGAAATGTTCATAATCTTTAAAAGAGCTCCAAACTGAACTTTAAAGGCAACATCATTAAGCGCTTAACAACATGAACACAGAAAAGCCATGCCCCGAGAAAAACACTAAGACTGACGAACCATTGCCAGAACCGGAAAAGGAGGAGTATGAACGCCCACCTTGTGTACCAATCTTGCCACCACCAAACCCTGCCGACAAGAGCAAATCGGACGCTGCTGTTGCCAAGCCGCAATAACATATAACGTTATCGCAACTAAACAAGCCATTTCAGTCATTTCTTATCCAAAAAATATTTTTTCGGTGGAGCCGAAACTAGATAACTCTGCTGTGTGCCGTTGGATACTGACTACTACAGTTCAACACATTCCCCAATTATTTTCTTCTTCGCCGCCTTAAAATGAACAACTAGAGAAGGTAATCATTTGAAGACATAATTTGTAAGTTTAAAAATAATTTTTTAAAAAAATACTAACATTATATAGTTCCTACATCATCTGCAAGGATTACTTATCACAAGAAGTCTTTGATAAATACTATGGCTTGCCCGACAAAGACACGCGGTGAATGTAAACCCTGCGGCGAAGACAGTGGGCTGTCAGAGCCTGATTTAGAGCAATATATAAGACCCCCGTGTTTGGTTCTTAAAAACAATTGTTCTCTAAAGAAACCAAAGCCCCCAACTCCAGTTCCAGAGCCGGAAATGCCAGAACCGGAATGCCCCTGTGCCTTTAAACCACCATGCGGCAATGATGATGACGACTGGTAACATTTCGACTATGATTTTAAATACCAAGCTTGAAGATGCCCATCTGAGGTGTTAACGTTGACGAGAAATCATTTGGAAGAAATCAACTGCTTTTCCCACAATGAAGTCATTCAACTAATGACTGGAAACCTGAACATACAGAGTATCATCAAAAAGCTCGAAGAAACGAAATCATCAGTTGTCCAGTTTTATTCAAATTTGTTAGTTTAAACTGTAGTTTCAGAATAAGAAACATTGTTTCTAAAACCGTCTAACTCACTTTCATCGCATGAGAAACATGTGATTATATTAAAACTAATTGTCAGTCAGAAACGGTCAGCTATTTTAATGAAAAATAAACATTTACAGTTCGAGGTGTATATTTCTCCCAGCTGCAAAACTTTAACTGAAGAATCAGTCGCTCACTTCTGAAACTAGTGAAAACGAAAAGGACACCTACTGCAGCAATCTTCATTATGTGAACTAACAATAAACGTATAATTCGAGAATTTTTGAAGCTCTCAAAAGCTCTATTCAGTTCTCTAGCGTAATTTGCGATAGAACCAACTGTCTGAAGCTACAAAAGTCAACCAATAGTGGGCATTCTACTACCAATGGTCATTATGAAGCTGACACAGTGATCTTAAGTTTTCTTGTTGAAACAGAGATACACAAGCCTCACTGCTAAGTTAGGCACTTCTTTTTTGCATGGTCGTTAAAACTTATTGGTTCCCATAAAGACTTCAAAGTAAAAGTCTGCTTCTTGCATCCAATTGTTTGAAATCTCACGGTAGTATGGCGTCGTGTAAGAGACATTTGTGTGGAAATGGTAGCTGCCAGAATACGTGCCGGGAAGATTCCACTCCATCACACGTCAGTAAAGAAGTCCTTCAGTACATCGAACCACCATGTCCTCAAGTATTTCCTCCTCCATGCCCAGCTTGTGAACCCGAAGAAAGAAGTACAGAGCGGGCTCCTTTATGTCGAGACCAGAAGAAATCCACAGCAACGTCTTCACGATAGGCTGTAGATCTCCGATCAAAGGTAAGAATTTAACGTGTTTTTTTCCCCCCACATAATCATTTCATTGTGTTTTCAGAGTCGAGAATTATCATAACACAAATTATGGTAGGAAGCTCGACGAAAGATACTGTACAATGCTGACTTTTAACCAAAGTCTTCACCAGCAAATTAGACAACATACACTATAAACCACAACAAAGAAACGGACATACGAAAACTAGGGACATGTGAGGTTTTTCCCTTCCTTATATCAGCTGGACCGTGGTCATCCATATTTTCAGCAGCACTTTTAGCGTAGTTTCCACGTAAATGATATATTTTCATTCTTCAGAATTACAAGTCCTTGCAGGTTATTGCTGTTGACAACACATGCTTCCAGTGATCTCTGTAGTTGTCATTTTCTTTCAAGTTGGTGACTCCGAGTATCTGTAAGACTTACTTGTTACCTGTGGCTGCGTGGTCTCGAGGTATGGTGTCCATCTCGAGTGCTAGAGGTCCCGGATATAAGCCCCGGTGAAAGCTGGGATTTTTCTGCTCACCTGGACTTTTAGTAATTTCCCCTGGTCTCTGGTTAATGAAATCGGACGCCTGTGTGTATTGTTGCGCTCGTAAAAATCCCTTGGTAATTGGCAATCGAAAAGAGTAGCCTAACGGCGCTGCCTGGGCAGATTTTAGAGTTAAAAATCTACCCAAAATATTTCAAGATTCTTGCCTGTCCGTACACTGCACTGAGCTACTTCGGACTCAGACTTAAATTAGAAGTATTATGGGTGTCCCACGATGTTGATCTGTTATTCAAACCTCTGTTGTACAAACTTGTTACTTGTTATCCGTATCGACATCCTAGCAGATCGGTCCGACCCATTCATGCTCCGTCCTACGATGCAACAGCCATCTCGGTGTCTCTGTGTTCACCTTACTCCATAACACTTGACTGGTAATTCTTCCATTTGTCCCGCAACCGTGCGAGAATGAAAGAGAATAAGAGCTGATACTATAGTAGTGTTTACATCCACTCATGAATTTGCTTTTAAGAGATACTGTCGTTAAATGCAAATGCATTCTTGTTTTCAGGGGAATCCCCCCCCCCCTCACCCCCTCCCCTCATAATAAACATTTTCTAGGCAGAGAACGCTCAAAGGGGGTTAATCCTGTTTTAAGCGCATAAAAATAACTGTGTGCTAATTGTCCTTTGAAAAATAATTTAAAAGTGAATGAAAAAAGTTTCATCATCATCATCATAAACCACTTCTGTCGTTAAGCGGCGTGGGGAGTAATAATTTGCGATCCATTTCACGTTGGCTGCCACTGGCTATTGTCATGCCGTGAAGGCGTAGAGTGTCTTTAATGTTGTCGATCCATATTTCCGCGGCCGTCCTCTTGCTCTTGTAGATGATTGCTTAATTGTTCAAGAATTATGGAGGAGGATGAAAAAGTTTAGCAACAGAAAAGTATTAGGAAAAAAACAAAGCATGGCTATAAGAAACCGGTTAAAATATCCATTTTTAAAGGTAATTATCTTATTTTAGTCATTATGTACCTTGTCAAAAGCTGTTTTATAACCCACAAATGTACAAGAAAGGGTGAGAAAAGAGACACACATATATACGCACACTAAGACACACTACCACAAGGAGACACACTCACACACACGGAGACACACACGCTCACAGACTTGAGAAGAACTCGGGATTATCACGGAAGGTGTGTGAGAAAGTCTGGAGAACGAAACAGAGAAAATAAAACGTAATGAAAGAGTTAGTTAATATGTACATTCAATGCCTAACCCTTGCTCCCAAATTTAAAACTAAAATCAGATAGAAGACCAATTTCTTTTTCCACTATCTCAAACTTGATGAACCTTCGAACAAATGGAAAAAACAGGTGGGGACTTGAATGTTGCTTGGACTTCCGGAAATAATCTGAAAAATAAAGAAAAAGAGAGAGAATAAATTATTGTTGCTATGTTGAATGTAAGAATCGACATCACAGCGCTAGGAACACTCCTATAAGCGCTCCATCCCTTTCTTCAGCAGCAAGCAAAGCGTTTAATTCCGCTGGTACCATTAACTGTTTGTATACCTGTTTCGCCCTTTCCTAGAGTGTTGTGCGTGTGCCAGTTCTCATGGTAACTCCCCGCAGCGCTATTCTCCTTAAACAGTAGTGATCAATGTGTGCCTCCGCATTGTTCACTCGCTCCCAAAGGGCTCTCACAACATCTAGCTTGTCATACATCAATTTACCAGAGAGAATAAATACAAACTTAACACTCTTGTCTGCGTCAATTTTTGTATAGGTACTTATTATCATGGGCATATAAACAACAGCAGTACCACCTGCTTAGCAATACTACTACTGTTGTTGTTGTCGCTGTTGTTGCTGCTGCTATTACTACTACTACTACTACTACTACTACTACTACTACTACTACTACTACTACTACTACTACTACTACTACTACTACTACTACTACTATTAATATTACTACTATGATTACTGCTTCTTAATAGTTTAAAGCTACAATATTTACACTGCGACTACTAATACTAAAATCGATTTTCTGTAAAATATGTGCCTTCTAAAATTATTAGGAATTAAATATACACTTAAAAGGGAAGAAGGAAGGAAGGAAGAAGCAGAAGAAGAAGAAGAAGAAGAAGAAGAAGAAGAAGAAGAAGAAGAAGAAGAAGAAGAAGAAGAAGAAGAAGAAGAAGAAGAAGAAGAAGAAGAAGAAGAAGAAGAAGAAGAAGAAGAAGAAAAAGCAGAAGAAAAAGAAAAAAAAGAAAAAGAATAAGAACAAGATGAAGAAGAAGAAGAAGAAGAAGAAGAAGAAGAAGAAGAAGAAGAAGAAGAAGAAGAAGAAGAAGAAGAAGAAGAAGAAGAAGAAGAAGAAGAAGAAAAAGAAAAAGAAAAAGAAAAAGAAGAAGAAGAAGAAGAAGAAGAAGAAGAAGAAGAAGAAGAAGAAGAAGAAGAAGAAGAGAAAGGACCCGGAAACAAAAAGTGGAATAAATACAAATGAAAGGTAGAGATAAGAAGAGCAGAGAAGAGGAGGAGCAGAAGATTCTGGATGGTAAAATAAAGACCTATAATAGATGATATCAACAAGTATCTTCGTAAATACAAATACAATATAATGGGGGACATAGCCATGACATGTTGTGGGACAATATGACCACACCAACAAGGTATACATTATACAAACGTTACTAGATGTTACCGACGATGATGCTGACTGTTAATCCTAGAAGTACTGTGATCAGGAAACCAATGAGAGGGGTCCATACGTAGGATAAATCGTAGAATGAAAAGCCATCATGTATGCCTCTGTGGAAAAGTTGAGGGAAATTGGTAGTCGTACATTGTAATCTTTGAAGTTTGTTAGGATCACTTTTATTTCAAGCAAATGGCTCCCCCTCCCCCTCCCCACCCTCTGTCGGCGTCGTTTAAAGCGCGAACTCCATAACTCCAGTGACAATCTCCATGGATCTCAGTAAAAACTGCACTCATTCACTGATTAATGAAGTACGCAAAACGAAGCAGCAGTAATCAGAGCACAAAACTCTGAAACGAAAGGCTTATTCATTTCACCGAAAGGAAGCCGCCTTGGTGTAGTGGCTAGATGCTCGCTTCAGGATCTGAAGGTCGTAGGTTTAGGTCGGGACCGAGCCGGACTATTTTAAAAATGACCTTTGATTCCAGGTCGTCCCAGCCTTAATTAGGTAAAAGGTGTAAATCATTGGAAGTGAAGGCGGCCTGCGTGATGCTGACCACATCACCCAGCGAGTACCGATCGGTCTATACGATATAGGTCTAGCCCTATATGCCAAATACGCCTGAAGGTGTGGAAAAGGGTCCTTTACTTTAATTCACCCAAGGAACCCCGGCACACAATAAAAAATATATGGTAATTACCTGGTGGTTGCACAACATAGAAAGAATCATATGGTATGACGTTATCAGTTATACTTAGGAAGGAGGAAATCTTGACACACTCAATGAAATCAAGAGGCGAGGAACAAACGCTGACGCTGGATGGGTCACAAATCGGAAAAATCTAATAACTAGAATGTCATTTTAATGGAAATAATCTCAGAAATAAAAAATAAAAAAAGCAACAGTCTGCTTTCTCTTCTTATCTTGTTGGTTGATATTGCAAAATTACTTATCATACATCAGAATAGAGTTCCATGTGTGTCCTTACAAGACATGCAGAGTCAACGGCATATTTTCTTTTTAGCTGTTTAGGTTGACGGTTTATACCGTTGTCTAAATCAACGCAGAGCGATCTGCTGCTCAATCGTCTGCAGCTGGAGTCGAACAGGGTATTTCGAAATTACTAAATACGCTCGCAACACCTAACCCACAGAATATATCAGAACAGGCTAGACATAACACATCATACTGACTTTCTGATATTCAGGGAAATGGATTTATTGCATACAATATTTATAATCTTCTGACATACTGCGTTAATTTAGACTATTTTACAGTTAATCTCTCTTAAGCTTCCTACACACACACATATATATTTATTTACAAATATATACAATGATGATCTTTTAGGAGATCAAGGCGTTGGGATATGAAGTGTTAGGCTGTTAACACATTTTAAGTAACGTCACAGTAGATGAGTTGGCCAGTTCCATTTCTGGTCGCCTTTCCTTTCCTAACAATTCCTAGGCAAACTCTTCTCCTACAGTGTTCTAGAGTTCGTCGAAACTAGAGCCATGTTGGTTGGAAAAGAATCATTCCACTTCTATGAACTGAACACTGTCAATGTTTTAGTTAGACAAATGCACTAGCCACTATGTCACTGCGGCTAATATGTATGTGTACACACACACACACACACACACACACACACACACATATATATATATATATATATATATATATATATATATATATATATATATATATATATATATATATGAGTCGCCAAAATCTAGGGGTTTAGGCAACATGAGCTTCCAATCCCACCCCCCCCCCCACTTTTTTAGCCCCCCCTCTCTGGTTATAATAGTAACTACCCCCCCCCCCCCCCCCCCCCCCCCCCCCCCCCCCCCGCCCGCCTCCAGATAATGTATACACGAACTAGTTTATATTTTCGTTTCACGTGTATTACATTTACTACTTAGTGTATTATTATTTAGCACTTAATCAACTATTATGCCAATAAATGGCACAGCTAGAATACGTGCAAGGGTGCTGAGGCACTCCTAACCAAAGTTTATGTCGATGTGCCTTACATATAAGTATAAAGCAAACAAAAGGACCTTTTTTTCACGCCTACTGGCGTATTGGACATAGATCAATATTTTATAGACCAGTCGACACCCGTTGAGTGATGTGGTGAACATTACACTGATCGCCTTTACTTCCGACGGCTTTACCTGGTACCCACATTAAGGCTGGTTTAACCTGGGGGCCAAGGTCATTTTTTGACAAAACTTCCGGTTCCGGCAGGACCTGAAACCTCGACCTTCAGATCCGCCAGCGAGAGTGTAAATATAAGTATAGGATGTGTTGATGTTTTTCTTCAGCGCTCTTACCTTCCTACTGCTGTGCTGCTTGCTACTGTCAAGGTCGCAGTCGCCGCAGTATAGGAAACAGTAGCCGTAGCCTGGGTCACTTGATCGATCCACGAAGAGTTCCACATACCTGCAGACGCTGAGGCATTCTGGGCAAGACACTTGTCCACTGAGCCATAAGGTAAGGGAGGTGTTGGCGCCCCATACAAAACAGAGCCGATGCTAATCCATATGTTCAATGTGAGACCCACTATCAGCCCAAACATCGTTCCCTGTATGATGAAACGCTATCATTAGGGTTTCTGTACCATGAAAATTACCATGTGTTGTTTGGGTATTTCAAAGTTTTTTGACACTTCATATCATCACCCCTTAAATTATAAATGTCTGGGTGAAATATTTAAAAAAAAAAATTGATGAATTCAAATCACCATCATGTGCCTTTCCGACTGCATGGGCGATCATGCCTCTCCACAATCTGCGATCTGCAACTGGGTGTATCAGTTCATTTCGATGTGGGACTGCGTGGTCTCAAGGTATGGTGTCCGCCTCGTTTGCTAGAGGTTCTGGGCTCAGTAGCCGGTAAGGGCTGGGATTTTTTCACGTGGACTTGGACTTCTAGTAATTTCCCTTGGTCTCTGGGTAGTGAGAAAGGACGCACGTATATATTGTTGCGCACGTAAAAAATATCTTGGCAGTTGAAAATCGAAAAGAGTAGACTAACGGCGCTGCCAGGGCAAATTTTGGAGTTAAAAATCTACCCAAAGTATTTCAGGATCCACGACGTCGCTACAGAGCCTGTGCAGTGTGCTGAGCTTCTTCGAACTCAGACTTCAGTTAGACGGAGAACAGAGCACTTATGGGTTTCTACCCGAGTACCATGATTGATGTTGATCAGTTGTTCAAACCTCAAACATCAGCAGTTTATGTGTTGATATCCCACCATGCCATAACCTCTTCTCATACTATTACCAACAAATGATCGTCTTTCTGATGTCTGGGACAAATTGTCTTCGAACCCTAACTGTTTTATTTTTTAAACATCTGATCTGCTCTTTTTTTTTTTTTTTTTTTTTTTGGGCTGTTCAAGAAATTCTAAGGCTTCTTACGTAAATCCGCGTCTCCGAGGCCTCAAGACATGTTTGGCTTGTTGATTAATTGTCCATAATTCACAGCCATATGTTAATACTGGCTCTATATAGCATGCTAGAATTCTTTTCCTGGCGTCTTAAGACGTGGATTTACTGCATAAAATGTTCTTCATTTTATAAAATGCAAATGGAATGAAGAAATAAAAGAAGTGTCTTGGCAACCATTAGTATCAAAAGTTTAAAGACAGAGAAGATGGTGCTATGCTTGACACATTCCGAGATCACCAAGCAAGCACTGAAATGGGAAAAATAGGGACTGAAGAAACGAGGGCCTCCAAGAGAAACCTAAAGGCGAACGTTGCTAACAGAGGCCAAATGTGCGAGACTTGGATAAATTTATGATATCGAGGTGATTGCACAAAACAGAACGGAATGGAGAAATGGCACAACATGACGATGAATGCATGAATGAAATCATCATAGTCAAATATTGTAGTAACTAACTCTATATTTTGCTAGATCCCCCTAACCATAAAAACCCTTCCCAATAATTGAAAGAGGACTGACCACACCCCTCTCCCCGACTGCAAATTGTCAAGGGAGCTAAGTAACCCCACCACACTTTTTTTTTCAAGCTTGTGTAGACGTGTTTTTGTTGCTATGGTTGTTATTTGTTAAAAGGTGTTTGTTCGTTCATTTCCTATAACTTCAACTATATTTATGTATTTATACGCCATTCAGCACATAATAATAATAATAATAATAATAATAATAATAATAATAATAATAATAATAATAATAATAATAATAATTACAACGCTTAAGCCAGGGTCAGATGTAGACTTCATGACGCCCTTAGACGAAATACAGAAATGAGGCCGTTACCGTTATGTCGCATCGGCTGATCTCTCTGTTTCCTATATCTAACTTTTCCGTCCTTTTAAGGATGAAATCTTTCGTTATTTGAAGCCCTACTCTGGCTTTGCCAGGGGCCGCAATATAGCCTGGCCATAAATATGGCCTAAAGGCTGAACGTGGTTTCTGGGACCTCTCCATGGTGATCCTCACTCACATGGCGGCACATTGTGTCATCGGGTGTTTATCGCTTGTGTGATTTCCTGGTGGGGTAGAAAGTCAGTCAGTCAGTCCGGCTGATCTCAGAAACTTTAAAAATAAATACGCCTTTTGAATATATTAAAAGTAAGTAAAGATCCCTTTACACGCCCTTAGGCGCATCGCTTTTGAATATATGGATAATACAAATTTACTGTATTTAATTTTTATGAAAAAAAAATTGATAAAGAATTTGTTTGCAAAATCACAGAAATTGTATTATATAATTATCTAAACGACCCTAAGTTACAAATGAAAACAGTATTTGTAAATTTAAAATATGTTAAGAGAAAATTGCATTACATTATTTTACAGAAAAATTGCATCTGTGAAATTTTTTTTTTTTTTTTAGGCCTCAACAGATTTTGAGACCCTGAGCTTTGCTTATTTAGCTTATAACTTATTCCAGGACTGATTTAAACCCTCTGAGGTTCTTAGTCCATTAAAAAGTTGGTCTAGTATCCTTTACAGGACGTTGCAAAACCGACCCTAGCATTTATTGACTGTTGTGGTTTTTCGAGGCAAATTTTACGTTCACTAATTTGCCACAGCTCTGAACGGCCAAGCCCTGGGTACCACTGTCGAAACCAGCACAAGACAGATCGGCCGCAGCAGGGATCGAACCCGGCAACCCCGCATTACGAAGCGCGTTCGCAACGCCTAAGCCACAGAAGCATACCTTAGTCCATTAGAAAGTTATGAAGGCTGACTGTCTCTCCTCCACCCCCTCCCCCCCCCCCCACCCCTGATTTCTTTCCTTGCGAACGCTGCATGGGGCACTTCTTATCTTGTCCTCTTTGTGTACATAATTTCACTCGTATCTTCTTCTTCTTCGCGTTCACCGGCTGCAAACTCCAGTAGCAAATTCTGGTTGTTCATCCACCTCTGGAGTTTAGATTTATTCCAGTACCTGAATGTAGCATGCACATCCGGTTTACAGATCTGACTTATTTTTTTGCAGACTGTTGGTTTTTGGCCTCTCGGGCAGATGCACTCCGAGATGGAAGGAAACCCCAAATTAGTCGACTTACGACATGCTTTTTGTGGAGGCAGGGTCAATTTTTGTTTTCCCTACAATGGGGCCCTGGAATCTACATGGGGATTTAACATGTATAAAACAATACAATGGCGATAATGTAATTTTTTATAATATTTAATACGTAATTTTTACAAATGTGTTAGCTTTCAAAAAAAATCTAGTAGCAATTGGTCTGAAACAGTGGTCCGAATTCAGTCGTCGTCTGGATTAAATCTGCAGAAGTGATAGTTCCCCAACCGCCCCGCACCCCCCCCCCGAAGTTCGACTACAGTTGACTTAACCTTATATCTTCTTCTTCTTTGTTCGACCCCTCCTTTTTGTGTGTATGATGGTTCACAGCGACATTGTGAAATTGGCGCTTTTCGGTATTGCACGTCTCATTTCAGCACAACACTAATTAGTTTCTTTTTACGATGTGCTTCTCAGGGGCAGTGTGTATATTCTACACCCCCCCCCCCCCCCCTCAAAGGGACCCGGAGTCTACTCAGGGATTTCCAGAATCTTCTAAGAAGGAAAGGCAAAAAGAAAGGTTGAACGGGGTTTCCGAAACTTCTGCCTGGTGTGTGGGGGGGGGGGGGGGGGGGGGGGGGGGAATTCTCATCCGAATGGTGGCAGTTTGTGTTACCGGATGTTTATCGCTCGTTGTGCGGTCCTGGTGTGGATTGAACATCCTTACACACTTCTGAATAGGTACAATTGTCCCGGTTGAGGCACATACACGCACACGCGCGCGAGCGCGCACACACACACAGGCTCGTGCGTGAATAAACACTCGTATAACTGTGACTCACCACTGCGTTTGCTTGTGGAAATGTGGCGCCCAAGATGAAGACTCCAACCAAAGGTCCACTGGTTGCTCCCAGAGCTGTGTATGTTGTCTGAGGACATTACAAGCCACACCCTGTTTTAGTTCATTTATTTTCGTTTTTCAGCTATCGTCTTTTTCCACTTCAGTTGGCAAAGTTTCTCAGTGAACGAGTAGCTCGTAGTCCAGCGTTCCATGAGTGACATTGGCTGATGTCATTGCATGTGGACGTACATCTTTAACGTCACCAAATCCTCTTCTTCCTCAATGACCTCTTTCTCTCCTCTCATCTCTTGGTGTAGCGTTTGTGTTAGTTACGGTGGTTGATGCATTCTGTTAAGATGACTAAACAATATGCCTTTTGCCTCTAAAGGTATCTGATAGACTTTATTGGTGTTTTGTTTTTGGTTTTTTGGGTTGCGATTTGTCTGATAGTTTCTACCCACGAGAGAACCTTCATTATAAAGAAAAACACTTCACAGTAAAGAAACCCATCACTCTAAAGAATTATTTTCATAGTACAGGAGAACCGTCATTGTAAGGGAATACCCTCATGTCTTTAACTATATTTCCCTATGTACTTTTGTGTAAGAAGACGTCCCTTTATATGATATCCCTGTATAAAACCATTCATCTTCTCTAATGAGATTATTTACATTATTTAAAAACAAAAATTCCAAGTATATAAGGGAAATTACACAAGGGAGTTGAAACGTCGATATAGGACGATATGGACAAAGAAGACGATGGAGAGATATTTTCCAGTCTGACCAACAAACTCTTGCGGTCACGGACTGAACAGAAAGGATCAGTGTCAGACTAAGACTCAAAATTTGGAGTTAAAAATCTACCCAAAGTATCGCCGGTACAACTGAGTTCGAGCACTGCGCTGAGATTCTTCAGACTCAGGATTGAGTTAGAAGTAGAACGGAGCACTTTTTAGTTGCACCCGTGTGTCATGATGTTGATCCATTGAATAAGCATAAACAGAAAACGTAAGAGATGATTGGAGCGATTGCTGTCTGCATCAGTGACCATCAAGGGCTATGGATGCTCAAGAAGAAGCAGATGCAAATGAAATAGATAGCATGCCAAACGGTTGGCGGTGTTTTCGAATCCCTATCAATCAAGGAAGTCTGTCTGTGTGTTTTCAATGACCTTGACTTCTCGGTTTAACTTAACACAAATAAATACCAAGATAAGTACATTATTTTTAATTCAAAAAAAAAAAAAAAAAAAAAAAAAAAAAAAAAAACAGGAAGGAATCCTGTAGTTGCCAGGGAAAGTCTAATAATGTTAGGATCTTTGTGAGGCCGGCCGCCTCAGAGACAACGACTAACCCTAAACTTAAATCTAACCTTAATTTTAACCCCAACCCATAACACCCTAGAATACTGGACTTGTTCAGGAACTCCTGGATTTCCATTGTTTGAGGTAAATTAAAAATAAAGTACACAGTATATGTTAAAGGAGGTGAAGCTGTCTATAATTATTATGAACGGTAGTCGTATCCGTAGGTGTAATCGAAGTTTTGTCGCGACACTGAATACCATGACACAGCCGCTGCACAAATGAAAGGCATTCCACGTGGATAACACAGCTCACAGTGCTTCACTAAGTACTTTAATTAGCAGCTTAGATAGGAATACCGCGAAAATCCGTCCAAATGTGATAACCGCATTAGCAAAGCGCTGCCAAAAGCAAAAATGACTTTAAAATTCTGCCACGACTATCCTCCATACTGTACCGAATATGTTGAATGTTGAATTAAGAATCGACATCATAGCACTCAGGAAACTCCCACAAGCGCTCCGTCCCTATCTTCAGCAGCAAGAGAAGAGTTCCAACTCCGATGGTAACGGTCTGATTTCAAATCCGGCTTGCTTTTTCACTGAGTGTTGAGGGTCAACCAGATCCCCAGGTAACTCCTCGCAGCGCCATTCTCCTCAGACTTTAATTATCTGTTTGTGCCTCGGCACTGTTCACTTGCTCCCAAAATCTAGTTAGTCATACATCCGTTCACCATCAAATAGCGCTGAAAGCCTGTTTAACAGACCAATGTATTTTGGTCCGCAAAATGTGGCCCAGCAGCCTGTACCTAATAACTACAAGGTAGGGAAATGAGTACCAGGAAATATCTATGAAGTAAAGGCGGTTGGCGTGATGTCGACTGCAGCCAACACTTATTGATAAATTAGTATATAAAAATATGAACTTAGAATCATATGCATGTGGCGTCACTGGCATGAAAATGGTCCTCTACCTTAGATATTAGTTTTATGTATTCACACATACAAGTACACAATGCACACTACACACCTGAGTCACGGGACCTGGCATTTCTCGTGCCAGATAGGCCAGTCCGATTATTAATGCACCGTACACACATACTAAATTGAAATGGAAATACCAATACAAATCGTATTACATATAACAAGGAATAAATAAGTGAACTGACATCAATGTACTCGGGACATTATCATACATGCTCCATCCCCTTCCTCAGCAGCCAAAGAAATTCTCATGGAGATGGTGCTACTGGATTGAAAGTTTGTCTAATCCCACCCCCTCTTCCCATCCACCCCCTTTTTACGGGTAGAAAGTTTACCAGACTCTCTGTTCACTCCCAGCTGAATCATTGTCTCCAGATCTGGATCCTCTGTCTTTTCTTTTGCACTGTTTGCTTGAGCCCATGGAAGCATCACCACGCCCTCTTTATGATGAAGTAGCTCAACAAAAACTAGACGGGAAGGGATGTAGAGGGAGACCCTTGCATATGATGTCAAATCCAGTGGCTTTGATAGTCCTTTACGAAAATATGTATCATAAATTATTGACCGTACACTGGTGACCAACGCTATAAGGCAGTGACAATAGAAGAAGAAATGGAAGAAGAAGAAAAGAAGAAGCAGAAGAAGAAGAAGAAGAAGAAGAAGAAGAAGAAGAAGAAGAAGAAGAAGAAGAAGAAGAAGAAGAAGAAGAAGAAGAAGAAGAAGAAGAAGAAGAAGAAATAGAAGAAAAGAAGAAGAATGAGAAGAAGAAGAATAAGAAGAAAAAGAAGAAAAGAAGAAGAAAAAGAAGAAGAAGAAGAAGAAGAAGAAGAAGAAGAAGAAGAAGAAGAAGAAGAAGAAGAAGAAGAAGAAGAAGAAGAAGAAGAAGAAGAAGAAGAAAAGAAGAAGAAGAAGAGGAAGAAGAAGATGAAGAAGAAGAAGAAGAAGAAGAAGAAGAAGAAGAAGAAAAGTAGAAGAGGGAGTGTAGGGGAAGAAGGAGAACGGTGAGGATCAGAAATAAAAAAGAAGAATAACGAGAAGAGGAGGTGAATGATGAGGGTAAGAGGACGAATATTAAAAGGTCAGTAATAATAATAACAATTGAAAAAACACCAACAACCATAACAACACAGTAATAATAATAACAATTGAAAAAACACCAACAACAATAGCAACAACAACAGCAACTGCACGTTGATCATTATGTAATTTGTCTGTCTTTTACTATTAGACTTCTGTCTTCCACAGATGCACGCAGATAAGAAACACGATGAACAGAAGAGAAACAAACTTTACTACTCGACCAGTTGAAATCTCACGTACGACTTGACTAGGAAATGAAATTGCAATAGCAGTAACAGAAAGAACATCAATCAGCAAGACGGTGATTGCTTGTTAGAAATGCTTTCGCGCTAATAGTATAGATCAGCAGATGAACTTAAATTAAACAACGAAGAAACAAAACAAAGAACCATTTTGTTTTATTTTATACAGTACGTACGTTTGCCACTCAAAACCAGTTGTTCTCAACCTTCCTAATGCCGCGGAACTTTAACACAGTTCCTTATGTTGTGGCGTCCAGTTTTAACATGTGGCTGTTAATCCTGGACATTCGGTAGGCAGGCCAAACAATTTCTTCAGGCCTCGGAGATGTGGTTTTAGAGAAGAAGGCTTAGAATACTTTGGACAGCCAAAAAGAGCAGCCAAGAGGTTTTGAAAGAGTCGGGAGCCCGAAGACAGCTTATCACAGACATCAGAAGGAGACAGTCACAATTTAGCGGCCATGTTATGAGAAAATGGAAAATATAACATGTTTTGAACACTGGAAAGATATGTGGAAGGAGGGATAGAGGAAGACAACGAGAGAAGATGCTTGACAGTCTTGTTGCATGGCATGGAGGTGTGTCAGCACACGAACTGATACAGCTGCAGGAGACCGCAGATTGTGGAGAGGCATGATCGCCCACGCCAGTCGGCAAGGCACTGGATGATGATGATGATGTGGCGACCCCCAACCATACAAAGGTTAAGAACCGCTGCTCTGAACCTTTCTTTAAAAAAAAAATCCTATCAAAGCATCCTCCCGTTCTTATAATCTGATTTTTTTTTCTTGGCCTAGCACATATTGTTCTTGTTCTTTATATTCGTTGTTTTCGGACTGGCTACTTGGAATTTTCGGGTGTTCTCCTAGATAAGACTGCCAGAAGACAGGAATCGCGACTCCATGTGCGTTGTCAAAGGAACTTCATGAAATATACACAGCATTGTTGGGCTCTCGTCTGACTGACTGACTGACTTTCTACCCCACCAGGACATCACACAAGCGATAAACACCCGATGACACAAAGTGCCACCATGTGGATGAGGATCACCGTGGAGAGGTCCCAGAAACCACGTTCAGACAATTGGCCATATTGATGGCCTGCCTATATTGCGGCCCCTGGCAAAAGCCAGAGTGGGGCTTCAATTACCAAAAAATTACATCCTAAAAATGACGTTAGGAATGCCAGTGGGCTCTCGTGCAAGAGAGGGTGCACTTTCCAGGTGGTTAATTTGAAGTGATTTGGGTCTCATTCGTCATTGTCCTGTTGCGCCATCATTGTATGTCACATAGGGCTCGCAGTCTATTCTTCCATTCCGCTCTATTCTGTGCAATCAGTCCAATATCATGGATATAATCCAATCCAGCAACTTTGGCATCTCTTATCAACGCTCGTCTTATGGTTTCGTTTATACGTCCTCAACTCCTTAATTCCATTATTTCCCATTTGTATGCACGTTTTAAATATTGACATCTTAAAAGATCTGAACATCAAGAAAGACTGGCTAATAAACAGCATCGTTTCTCAAAAGCTGATTATTTTGGTAATATCAAGCGCCAAGACGGATTGGAAAAAAAATAATAGCAGAAGGCATGGTACCAGGAAGGAGGGGCAGGGGCCGACCGACACGAAAATGGGCACAGGATATAAGTGACCCCTTGAGTGTGAAAGTGCATGAAACGGGAGAACTGGCAAGAAACCGAGTTTCTTTCCTGCAGACTGTGATGAGAGCGACATTCTGCAAAGGACCTGCTACATGATGATGATGATGTATGCCTTTTTCATGATTGTTTTCTTCTCAGAATGTGTCTAATGTAGCGTCATCTACTCTGTCTTATAACGGTTGATACTAATGGTTGCCCAGACATTTCTCTTATCTTTTCACTCCTTTTAAATTAATCCCACTTTATTTTTCATCATTCCCCCCAGACATTTGTTTTCGAACGCATTTAACTTTTGGTTCATGTCTTTAATGGTTCCCCAACTTTCAGTTTACATTAAATAACATTAGAATTGAATATACGTAACTTGTTTTTGTAATCGAAGTCGTCCCCTTTTGGGATACAATTTTTTGGGGAGCATAAAAGCCCCACCACGGCTTTTGCCGGACACCCTAAATATAGCTGGGCCATAAATATGGCCAAACGGCTAAACCGATTTTCCGGGACCTATTCACGAGTGATCCTCATCCGTATGGTGGTACCTTTTGTCACAGGGTGTTTATCGCTTGTGCGATGTCCTTGTGGGGTAAAAGTTGCCAGTGAGTGTCATAATTTTCTTTATTTTTTGTTTCTTTCACTATAAAAATTACTATCTGAATAAGTAAATTGATCTGTTACTTTAATTAATTTTGTCTTTAGTGCTACATCTGCTTCGAAAGGTAGAAGAAGAAGAGGCTACATCTGTTTGATCTGTTGCTGGTGTCTTCATTATATTTGTCTTTATACCTTATTTGTAGTCCATCATTTGATGCTATATTTGCTAAATTACATGTCTTCCTTTGCATGTCATTACTGTTTTTCCTAATTAACATTCTACATTGGGTATCGGCACTTGTAGAATATAAGGCCAGATAAATCAATTTAGACAAAAACAGGAAAACTAATATATATATATATATATATATATATATATATATATATATATATATATATATATATATATATATATGATTACTCGGTGTAATCTGGAGCTTTCAAGCTAGAATTAATCAAGTGCAACTGAATCAAGAGTTGATTTAAAAATGCTATATCTCTTGTCTTTACCTCGAAGACGACATAGATGTGATTCACCAAGTTTAACTCTTCGGTCACGCAGTCGTATTAGCGTCAGAGATTCGCAGTAATCCCCCAACCTAGGCCGTAAAGCGTTGATGATCTCAGCTCTGTCCATGCTGCTTCCCGTTTGCTTTGGTGCATAACTTGCCAACTGGTCGGTTTTTTTTATTACCATGTACTCCTGCGTGAACAGGTGTGTAGATTCAGATGATGGAAGTTAACTGCAGTTTTTAGATGCTTTCTACCCATTCAAAGCGTAGTGTAGTGAATTTTTGAAGCATGTTCATATCGTCTGAAACTACTACCGCATGTAAACCCATGACATACTGCATGGCGTGCCACGAGTGTCATTTGTGCAGCCGAGTTTGAGTCTCATGGCCTCATTTTGTACCCGGTCCAGTCTTTCTAGCTGGATTCTGTTAACTGCGAGGAAGCCCAGACCGTAGTCTATAACACTTAACGCAAGACCTTGATGCAGCAGCAACTGTAGTGGTTGTTAAATCTCGGCGTATGCCATTGCCTTCAGAGCCGTTAGACCTGTCCTGGCTCTAACTATGATATTGCCCACATGATTCTTGTGTGACAAGCATCTGTGGAAAGGTACATCAAGGTATCTCATTTTGTTCGTTCAATCGATTTCTATACCGCACATGCTCGCGACTGGCGTAGGCGTATTGACAATGTGGGTATTCAAGGAGAACCATTTTAATGAAGCCTCTGCCTCGTTTACCTGTGTGCTTGATTCCTGTCACCACTCAGTGAATCGATCTAATTCATGCTGTAGAGTTATTGTAATTGCATCCTAATTGTTTCCTCGTCGGTACACAAGGATATCGTCTGCGAAACACATTGTTCTGCCCAGACCTACTATCTGTGCACTGGTGGCTAAGGATGTGTACACATTAACGAGAACGGGTGACAATGGTCATCAATCGGGAAAGCACAAAAAGACGCGTTGAGGTTTTGATGCCCTCGTACCGCATCTCATCGACACATTTCTTTCGGAGAGCGCTGCTGCAATCAAGTTGACCCATTTAATCCCTATGCGCATATTCATCATCAGTCCGATGAGCATGTTGTATGGAACGCTGTTGTACGCGTCTTCTAGTCAATGGCGGCTGCGGCAGTTTCCATTCCTGCTTTGAAACCCTCATACGTGTGGTAAGCCAATACTGCTGCATTGCACCAGGTATCTCTGCCCGGGCGGTACCCACCTAGTCTAGGTGCCAAAAGACCACCTGGCTCAAATTTTTTGGTAAACTTTCTGGCCACCATTTTTTCCATCGGTTTCTCCTGCGGTGTTCTGAAGTGTGATGATTCCATAGCCATTTACTTTTTTGTTATCTTTCCCTGGCTTAGGAACGGGTCTGAAGTAGCTGTGGAGCCGGTTATCAGGGATATCTTGCCTTTCTGGTCTTACTCGGTGCATACATTATTCCATTCAAACATCGTTTCAGAGAGACAGAGCAAGAAAGGAAAGACGATTCTTAACAGCCTTCTGTCATGACATGGAGGGGTGACAAGACAAGAACTGATGTATACAGTTGCAGATTGTGGAGAGGCATTATCGCCCACGCCAGTCCTTAAAACATTTAGTGATTATGATGGAAAGGCATTTGCTGGTAGTGATGACAATATACTGTTAATACCTGTAAATTTTGATATGGCGGTGACGGTTGATTCGCGTTTGTTGGCCAGAACACCACCAAGAAAGTCTTCTACTGTATTGGCTGTTAGAGAATTGATTCCAGAGGACAGTGTGCTGAAAACAGGGGTCATTGTAAAATTATTTTAGCAATACATAAACTGCTGTATGAGACGTGCACGGCTACAGATTTTACATAAACTAGGCTGTATGGAATGAAGTTAGGTGCACTTTGTTTAGGAAAATATGTCCTAACTCAGAACAAGAAAGAAACTCTTCATTTGTGTTTGCTACTAGAGATGACACCAATAATGACTGCAGAAGTTGAGGATGCAATACATCATATGAAGAAAGGAAAAGCACCCGAGCCAGAAAACATCTCACTGGAAGACACTGAAGCACTGGGAGATTTTGGAATTGAAATAATAAATAATTTTTTTAATGATATTTATAATAGTGGGGTATATTCCAAATGACCTTTTAAAATCCATATTTATAGCTCTGCCAAAGAAACCAGGCACTTTAAAATGTGAAGACCATCGCACAATAAGTCTTATGAGTCACATGACTAAGATTTTACTGAGAATAATTATGAGAAGAATAAGAAACAAAATTAAACCAGAAACCAGCGATGAACAATGTGTATTTGTAGAAGAAAAAGGTACAAACAATGCCATATACATCCTAAGGACATTGTCAGAAAGATCTATAGAAGTAAAGACTGATTTTTACTTATGCTTCATAGACTAAACAAAAGCATTTGACTGTGTCAAGCACGAAGAAGGAATCAAACTGTTAGAAAACTTAAACATTGGTGGGAAAGATCTTCGAATAATAAAGAATATGTATTGGCATCAAACAGCAGCTATAAGAATTAACATCTGTTTAGGTACATTTCAAAGCATAAAGAGGGGCGAAAGACAAGGATGTGTACTGTCACCTGATTTGTTTTCAATATACAGTGAATAAATAATGAGATCTTTAATTGATATGCCCGGAATTGTGGTTGGTGGGCACAATATAAACTGATGACACAGTCTTGATAGCAACAAGTCAGAAAGAACTACAGGAAATGATAGACATTGTGGTGTTAGAAAGTGAAAGAGTGGGCCTCAGTTTGAATAATGAGAAGACAGAAGTAATGGTGGAATCAAAGAAACGAATTATTCCTAAATCTGTAATAAAAGTCGTTGGCGTTATTTTAGGACAAGTACAGAAATTTAAGTATCTGGGCACATGGATGACATCAGATGAAAGATGCATAACTGAGATAAGAAACAGAATAGGACAGGCAAAAACTGCATTTTATAAAATGAAAAACATCTTGTGCAATATATCCTTGTCATTGAGAGTTAGAAAAAGAATTCTTGGTTGCTACATAAATCCAGTTTTAACATATGGCTGTGAATCCTGGACAATCTGTAGGCAGGCCAAACAATTTCTTGAGGCCTCAGATTTGTGGTTTTACAGAAGAAGGCTTAGAATACCTTGGACAGCCAAAAAAGAGCAGCCAAGAGGTTTTGAAAGAGGCGGGAGCCCGAAGACAACTTATCACAGACATCAGAAGGAGACAGTCATCATTTTTCGGCCATGTTATGAGAAGATGGAAAATAGAACATGTCATGACCACTGGAAAGATCTGTGGAAGGAGGTAGAGGAAGACAACGAGAGAAGATGCTTGACAGTCTTGTTGCATGGCATGGAGGTGTATCGGCACACGAACTGATACATGCTGCAGGAGATCGTGGATTATGGGGAGGCATGATCGCCTACGCCAGTGGGCAAGGCACCTGATGATGATGATGACTAGAGAGTTGATTTCCATGTGCCTTGCTGTAAACCACTAAACAACGTGCCAAACATTCTTTTAAGGGCGAATGCAGAAGAGGAACTGTGACGTAAATCAGGTGATGGTTTTATTTACTGTGTGCTATCACCAATTCCCTTCTCAGTTAAAATGTTCTTACGTCAAGTCAAGACGTCGTGAAAATAGATGCTCATGACAGTGCGATAGTAGAGTGTCGATAGAATGATAATGTACGGTAGTTTGGCCACTGCTGCATGTGATCTTTTATGTTGATAATTTCAGTATGCCTTAGAAAAGAAGATGTTCTTGTTACAGGCTATGCCGTGTGGCGTTCGTTGTAGTAATGACCTAACTGTGACTTTTAGGTAGCTGAACACGAATCCGAAAGGCGAGGTATCAAAAATCTGGAAAAAAAAAAGTAAGCCAGACCTGTAAACGGTTGTGCACCCAAAACTCAGGTTCTGGAGAAATTTTAAAGTCCTGAAGTGGAAGAACTGCCATAACTATCCACCGGGAAACGCAGAGAAAAAGAAGATTGAAAATAGGATACGACTCTTCGGATCGCTGGAGTTTAGAAGCCTAGAAGACAACAAACATAAGTCTTTAAGCTGGGTAAATTATTTGTTGTAGGCGGCATTTATTTAAAAACAAACAGAAGAATTAAAATTAGGTGCTGAAGTTGGAGGCGACCATCCAGGCGGCGCATGGTAAAGATCAGGATGCCACGCACAATCGCTATAGGAAATATACCTATATCTGCGAATAGATCTAGTTTCAAAATCATGCACGGGAACACAGAGGGACGAGCCGCTGAGAGAATTACAAAAGACAGTGAAGTTCATACTAGAGACAACATTGCAGACATAGACAATCTATTTCAAGCAAACGAAAGAAGAAGCAAAAAAAGAATTTAAAAAAAACCCACCCCAATATAAGTAAATAAATACCTTAAAGCGCCAGAGAAAATCGTAGCCATGTAAAGACCAGGCAACCCGGGCAGAAAGCTCAACGACTGCATCACAAAGTACGGCATCAACTGTGCGCACAGTCGTTCAATGGTGAAGTGAACAGATTTACATTATGGTTTCTAAAGGGAATAACTATAAATATTGTCCGTCAATAGCAACGCAACACATACATTCACACGCACAGACACGCATATATATATATATATATATATATATATATATATATATATATATATATATATAAATATATGTGTGTGTGTGTGTGTGTGTATATATATACTCGTATATATTACAATCTATTTTTTAAAAATGTCGAATGTTGGGCAGTGCATAATAAACCTGACATCCCAAGTCCGCCAACAGCTTTAGGAGCAGGAGAATAGTGGGAGGGGAAAACAGGTGGGAGAGGGGGAGGGGGTCGTATAGATTAGCCTCATGCTGGGAAGAAAATATGCAACATGAAAACCTAAGCTACTCTTTTGTCATGGCAGACTAAGCCGTTAGCCGTTGGCAGGTGGTTTAGGAAAGACGTTCTGACATGCGGACAGACCAAAGCTGCTCTTTGATCAGGAAGCTTCTACAGCGAGTATTGTACCTAATTTTAATGTGACCTTTTCTTTGAAGCAAACAAGGCGGGCCAACAGAGGGTTCATAACATACGGACAACATATGGTTTATACAGTACAGCCTAGGATTTGGGCTATAAAGAGGAGAACTTTTACCTGCACTTATCATATTGGGATATGATTTTTATGCCTCCATTTAGCACAATATAATATATCGTCTGGAAAGACGGACAGGTCCCCCCCCCCCCCACCCCCTCCCACCTCCACCCAAAAAAAAAACAAGAACACAAGAGTACATGTATATCTTCTTCTTCTTCTTTTTCTTCTTCTTCTTCTTCTTCTTCTTCTTCTTCTTCTTCTTCTTCTTCTTCTTCTTCTTCTTCTTCTTCTTCTTTCGCTCGCTTGAAATAAATTTTCTATATCCGCAACGTTGTCTCTAGTATGACCTTCACTGCCTTTTGTAATTCACCGTACAGTTTTGACTTGCACTGATGTTTTTTCTTGGCCAAAAGTTTTGCCCTAATTTGTTGTGTTTGGGACAGTCTTGGAGGATATGATCTGTTGTCTTAAGTGCGAATCCACATATGCACATGGCTGAATCGCCGATTTGAAATTTTGATTAGATGCGCCTTCGAAGTCGATTGTGTCCTGTTCTAAGGTGTAGAATAATAACTTGCTCTGGTCTGTCTATAAATGGTAATCGTCCTGTGCCGGCTTTGGTGGCTTTCTGATTGATTTGATTATTCTCTTCTTGTGCTGATAAGATATTGGTACGTCAAACTGTTCTTCATTTGCACCTTCCTTAGCTAGTTGATCAGCTCTTTCATTTACGGAAACTCTACAGTGGGATGGTATCCACTGCATAGTCATCTTACACCGACTGCTTAGTTTGGAGAGCATTTTGACCTATATGTGGTATAATCTGGATGCTCAATATACACTCCTGCTCCTTCATTTCTGCTTGCGTTTTGTGCTGATCCATCCGTATAGAAACGAAACCAAAGATTCTGTGAGTATTCGTTATAAAGCAGAGCAAGGGTGACAGTTTTACGTTGCAAACTGTTTTGTTCTTCCTTATCGAATACGCCTTTCACTTCTGTTTGGATGTGTATTGGCAACTTGTAATCCTCTTTCCAATGGGTCTGATCTGGACGCATTTAGGGGGCTATCAGTTGCAGGCAGATCATTGGTTTGCCTGAGGAGTCGTTGGGCCTTTTGGATAAAACTGCTTCTTTTTAGTCGCCCCATTGCTAGAGTTTGGAATCTTTCTTTCATAGGGTGTTCAGAAATGTTAGGAAACTTTACTGCTTGTATTAGTATCTTAGTGTCTCTTCATTCTATCAGTGTTTAGTAGTACATGTATACGACTTGCAAAGTAAATGTTTACCTGGTTTCTGTTCTTAATATAGCCGGCTTTCAGGGGGTCGCATTCGATGCTGAAAAAATATGCTAAGAGAACTAGACCAGTCAGAATCATGATCCCTCCATAGATCACCGATAGAACTGTGGCCATTATGAATGTCCTGTACGGAAATAATGGTATTATTACTATGTTGTGTTTTGCTTCACAGAAGTTTAAAAAGCAGAAAGAGGAGGAGGAGAAGAAGAAGAAGAAGACGAAGAAGAAGAAGAAGAAGACGAATAATAATAATAATAATAATAATAATAATAATAATAATAATAATAATAATAATAAGAAGAAGAAGAAGAAGAAGACGAAGAAGAAGAAGAAGAAACAAGAAGAAGAAGGGAGTTGAGTGAATATTTCGGTCACATTAAGAGACACAACATTAAAAAAAAACATTTAAAAAAAAACTATACTAAATGGAAAACAAGAATGTAGACGAATAAGATAAAAGGTAGACAGCTATGCAACTGCAAGGACATCAGAAAATGGAGAAAGGTCAAGAGTCTGAATCGATATGTAACCAAAACGAGAGATAGTTTTGGAAATCCACTACTACGTTACATGATTGTTTAACCTATAGTGATAATTTGTTCTTCTCGTCATTTGTAGATAATGGTTTCCGGAGCACACTGTTCACTCTCAGTTATCTAGTCTTATGAATAAGGGTTCATGCAGGGTCTGACCCCAGAGTTTGATCGTTTTAAAGAGGTGTTGGAAAGCGCAGGTTCACAAGACTTTTCCTAATTCTCAGTCTCCTATGGCTTATGTCATATTTGGAGAATGGAGGATGACAGAGACCTCAAGGACATTCTCTTTTGTGAATCACAAATGGGTAGAAGATTTTAAGGCCAGCCTCTATTGTGATATACATCGGGACATGAATCATACAGGATCTGGGGTTGATTCGTGGAAAAACAATTCCCTGAACCGTCCAGCGTAGGCGGGAAAAAAAATCAGAAAGGCAATTGGAAAAAAGGTAGAAAATGATCGTAGAAATGTTTCATGATGAGTTTTGAGAAGAAGCACACTAAACACATCTTATTGCAACAACGGTCCTGAAATTCTAAGCTCTAATTGTAGAAGATTTATCTTAACGCGGGAAGACTTCTCTTAACGCGGACAGGCCTTGGCAGTCCCTGTCGCTATCGTCATGACTCCATATAACACACTAAAACTCTATAGTACGGAAAGACTGAAAGATAGACTATGTATTACCAACAGACCCAATCTCAGCCAGTCTGTGTGTGGTGTGCCCAATTATGACTTTTACACCTCATATTATTCTGTTCTACAAATGTGGGAGCTGCCGTGGCGTAGCGGCTAGACGCTCGCCTGCGGATCGGAAGGTCGTTAGTTCGCTTCCTGGCGGAGCCGGACTTTTGTCAAAAATCACCTTGACTCCCAGCCTTGAGTGGGTATCGGGTGCAGTACCGGGAAGTAAAGGACGCCGGCGTCCATCTTGTGCCGATTGGTCTACAAAATATAGGTCTAGCCCTATATACCCTATAAGCCTAAAAGCGTGGAAAAGGGACCTTTACCATACACTATAAATGTGTTGTTTTAGTAGAGCTAGCTGCACACTCCACTAATTTCGGAGCTTCGTGGTTGAAAAGGGGTTTTTGCAAAACAGTCCTTAGGAAAGTGGAATCTGTTCGGGACGAAACTTAGGAGGAGGAGAGGGTGAACCGTAATTATTACATTGTTTATAGTCCCTTAGAAAATATCCTGGTTCTTTATTTATAAAGGTAAAGATAAAGTCGGGAGATGTGATGCAGCGCCATTGCACACGGTTATAAACCATAAGTGCTCTGTCACCAGTACGGATAGCTGATAAGAAACTGTCCACCTGTGTAGCTACAGCGACGCTACTCCATTTACCTCAGAGTGTTAACTATGGTACCCATTACCTAGAGCTGGGTAAACCCCGGGAACCTCCCGGTTTCGAAAACCGACTGTGGCTGCAGCGAGTCGCATCTGGATTTGAAAGCGAGCCTCCTATCGACTACGCTAACGCGGCTCCCTCTTTGTTTATATCCTACCCCAGATGACGTCACAGGACAGTCCAACATTTTAAAGGGTGGTAAGACTGGGTTTCCCGGCTTTCTGATGCTTTTAACGACCCCAAAAAAATTTAGAACTGGCCTTAACCCCAACCCACCTACGTCCCACGAAAGAGCGCAGCCTAGGTCCCACTACTGCATGCAACCTAGGTCCCAAGACTGCATGCAGTCTGTCAACTACCCCATGAAATATTAGACTGTCCCGTGACCTGTGGATTTCCCCTGTTTGGGGTAGGATATGAGTATAATCCTATTTACATTGATGAGCAGGAGTCTAGGAGAGCAGAAACTCTTAGTTCTACTCACCTCCCTCCCACTCCCTCAAATATGTTTAGTCCCTGCCTCACTACTTTATCTGGAGCAGTGCCCTTCTTCTCCCACTACATATGGATGTTCTTCTTTAAGAATTTGTCAGTTCATTTGAAATTAATTCAGATATATTATTTTTAATATCTTATGCAATAAATCGCTCTTTTTTAGTGTTGGAAAGATTGTGCTAAAATGTTACATAGAACCCGTTCTGCTGTATGACAGCGAACTTGGAAATGTCAGTAAACAAATTAGGAAGAATTTAGAAGCAATAGAGATGTGGTTTCTGAGATGAATGTTACGAAAACCTTGGACGGCCAGAGTAATTAACAACGATTGCTTGAAAGAGGCTAATGAAAGTAGATCTCTAAATGGAACAATCAGAAAGGGACAAACACTATATTTTTTTATTTTTCTTGTACAATTAAAAAAGGATAATTGTATAGGACTGGGTGTTGGGGGGTGGGGAGTGGAGGCTCAATTATTTAATGCCATGTTTAATAGTACATTAAAAATATTAATATAACTTTTATCACTTTTGTAAAATTAAACAAGTCTTATAGCACCCAGGCACTCTACACAATTAGTGGAACTGGACGGACTGAGCGGTCTCTGATGTTTTCTCCTTTTGTTCAGGTATGCCGGTGTGTTAGGAAACGAGCAGACAGATAGACTGACCGGTTCTGCGATACTTGTGGTAAACTGATGTAAGCCAAGCTAGATGTTATGAGGTCCTTTGGAAGCTAGTGAACAGTACGGAGGCGCAAATAGATCACTTCCGTCTGAGAAGAATGGCGCTCAACATTAAAGGGCAAGGCGAAAAGGATATACAATTAGACAGTCACTGGTGCCATCGGAACTGGAACTCTTTGCTTGCTGCTGAAAATGGGGACGGAGCGCTTGTGGGAGTGCCCTAAATGCTGCGATGTCGAATCTCAATTCAACATTCAAATGTTTTCTCTGATGTCTACTTACATTCGAGCCTGTTCTTCTGATTTGATGGCAACAATCCTCTGTACACTGGACTGTGAGAAATGAGCGCTCATCCAGTACGTAGTCCCGCTAAAGATCAGGCCCCAAACGGTGTGACGAACACGTGGATCCGGAGTCACCCTGTTGTCATAAAAAACACTTCCTTCAATGTTCTGCCTTCTTTGCAATAATAAATTCTTTCTTCAGAGTGAATATTTTCAGATTACAGCCAGCTACTGAGCCATACTTTTTTTCAAAAATTACCTTAACTTCCAGGTGGGTACCGGGTGCAGTCCCGGGAAGTAAAGGCGGCCTGCGTGATGCTGAGCACATCACCCATCTTGTGCCGATTGGTTTATAAGAATATAGGTCTAGCCCTATATGCCCTATACGCCTAAAGGCGTGGAAAAGGAACCTTTACTTACGGCGTGCTCCTGAAATGTCAAAAAATACCACTAAAATAAGGTAATTTTCTACTTATAGTAAGTGTTTTTTTCTTTCGCTCGCTTTAAATAAATTATATATATCTGCAATGCTGTATCAAGTATGAACTTCACTGTCTTGTGTAATTCACTTAGGAACCCGTAAAGTTTGGCTTCAACCAGTGTCTCTTTTGTCCAGAATTGTCCCCTGGAAATGTTGTACTTGACACAATCTTAGAGGATGTGATCTGTTATTCAGGTGCCAGTCCATATGTGCACACGAGCGATTCGTCAGTCTTAAAAGCTGTGTACATGTGGCTGCGAAGTCGACTGTGCCCTCTTCTAAGCGTAGAATAATGACTTGTTAAATTAGGTAAAGTAAAGGGCCCCTTTTCACGCCTTTAGGCTTACTATACTTTTAGAGCTAGACTATATTTTATAGACCTATCGGCACTTGATGAGGGATGTGTTTAGCATCAGGCCAGTCGCCTTAGCTTCCCAGTGCTATTGTCTTGTACCTATTTAAGGCATGGTCGCCTGGGAGTCAAGGTCATTAAAAAAAAGTCCAACACCGTCCGGGTTTGACCCCACGACCTTCGAATCCACAGGTGAGCGTTTAGCTGCTTCATTACAACAAATCCCCCTATTTCTAGTAACTCTAAAACAAAAGAATTTGTAAGTCATAAAATGGTGAGGTTAAGAAAGGTTAAGAAAGTTTAAAAAAAAAGGAAAGTTCTAATTCTGCAATGCTTACATACGCTAACTGTGGAATATTTTCTGCTAGTGAGTGATATAAGTCACACTCGCCATTGCCATGGGTTGTGATTCCCATGCTTCTCTACATCACAATATAGCAATATTGTCTGGAAGATATCAGCAAATTAAAGTAAAGTAAATTACACTTGTCATGATTTTGATCATTAGGCAATTAAAAAAAATAAACTATCTGCAAATGATGGTTGATGTTACTTCCATTACATTTTTTGGTGACGTTTGAGGCACATATTAAATATAACAACTTGCATCGATGCAGATTCGAACCAAAGACCTTCGGGCCAACAGCAATCATCTAGTCACTGCGCTTCCCGGGATCCTGAATAGGCATAGTCTTTATTAAAAATACTATTTTAATGACAGCAATAATAATATTTGACTTTAACTGGGCACACACTGAAAGCGACCAACAAAGAGTTACAACACAGGTACTGAAATGGGCAATTAATGGACTGAGAAAACGAGGACGTCGAAGAGAAACCCTATGGAGCACCAGGATGAGAAAAGTACTGAAGTCCATATATGATATCAAAGTGATTGCTCAGGATAGAACTAACTGGAGAAATAAACTACAAGACCTGTGTTTAATGTAATGGCAGAAAAAGACATTGAATGAATAAGTCAAAATAATTAAACCTTTTTATTTAGTTCAATCAAAAAGATTGTAGTAATAGTAGACGTACAGCAGACTTGCAATGACTCTAGAGTTTACTCATAAGTTTCAGAGACTGTTTGCCAGTAGAATGACAACGCTAGTCTTTCGCCATAGAAAATTACAACCCAGACGAGAGACAGCGCTAGTTTACTTCACAATACAACAAGCGTGAACTAAAAAAAATAACGTTGCGGCTTATAAAGCCTGCATCACATCAGCACATAACCTTAACAGATAATGATACTATACATTACAAACAATACATCACTTTCTTTATCTGTTACAAAATATACAGAACAAACTGGAACAGCAGAGAAATCAAGGTCAACATTGTGAGATTTTGCATCTTCACTGTTTTAACAGATGGATGTGAGTCGTGGACATTTTTTCTAGGGATGAAAATAGGAGCTTCTAAGCTGAAATGCCGAAGAAAGGTTCGCAGAAAACCATGCACACAGACTGGCGAGAGACCAAATTCTTTCAGGCAGTTCGAGATGAGAGTGATTTTGGCAAATGACCTGCTACATGATAATAGTTATGACTGGAACAGTAGACGTATCTGCATAAAGGTGTTATTGCAGGATATAGAAAATGGAAAGGAAGATACTCAGGGAGTTGGGAAATGGCAGTGAGGCGATGGTTGGTTCAACAAGAGACGTAACTCTTTAATTATTTGGAGAGAACAGTGGGGGGTGGGGGGGGGGGGGGGGGGTCTTACCTGACAATGATGACGACAATAATTGATGACTGATGTTGACGATGATGCACTATTTATGATAATGTGCAAAATGAAAGATAAGGGTAGCTTACACATCGGCGATAATCCTTCCATTCTCTGATGCTATTTGCATAACTTTTCCCATGCCACCAACATCCAAAGAACCCTACAAACATGTTGATGTTATTGTAGCAGGCAAAGTGACGCACATGCGTCGATTAGAGTAAAAATTGTAAGAATGCATTATGTAACAGGATTGCAAGAAGTACAGAGGGTTCGTTTACATGGTCAAAATAAATAAACAGAGAAAGAGACAGTTAAAAAAAAAAGGGGGGGGGGTGAGAAATTACTCTAAATTATTCATCATTATCATCATCATCATTACCATTAGTGCCGTACCAGTAAACGTATGTGGCCAAGATTTGCTATTTTACATGAACACCTGAATCTCTGAACGGGCAAGTGCTCGTTTTCCGCTCCCATCAACACGGTCAAACCACCCAGATGTTTAACCCTTTATTTGCCCCATTTCTTTCCACCCATTTTTTGCAGGTGTCAGAAGGTTTTAAATAGGCCTAGCCCTATATGCCCAGTAGGCCTGAGGCATGGAAAAGGGTCCTTTACCTTACTTTTTACACTTTTTATGTTTTAGAGTTTTCTGAAGTCGTGTCACGTTACTAGCACTTAGTTATCCTCGCATTATGAAGTGAATAGTTTTACTACGAATTAATGACATGAAAACATAATAATACTATTTAAACAAGTACAATTCTTCCGTCGGCTCTGTCGCCGAGTCGATGCGAACGCTTCGTAATGCCGGGATCCCGGGTTCGATCCCAGCTGCAGGCCATGCCCATTGCGTTTGTTTCGACAGTGCTATTAAGAAAGCCGACCGTCCAGAGGGCAATGGCAAACTATTGGACTAAATTTGCCTAGAAAAACCACACAGCTGGGGTTGGTTCTGCAACATCCTGTAAAGGATACGCAACAACCTTGAAAAGACAATTCTTTCTCTGATATGGTCAGTCAGTTAAAAGATGTGCTGCGGTAGTCTGATTCTGTTTATTTGTCCACTTATACTAAGTTCACCAGCTGAAATCTGTCTTCAAATTCTGGTTGTCCGTCTATATCTAGACTTTGGAATTGTTTCAGATCTTGAGTTGTTGCGTTTACATCAGTTTGAAGGGTTATGCTTTTTTTTTTTCTTTGCTTGCAGATTGTTGGTGCCTCGCATCTCAGGTAGGTGCACTCTGACTTTAAAAAACATACCTCTAAATAGTCGCAAATTACGAAGTGCTTATAAGGGAGCAGTGGATTTGCCCCTCCCACTCCACCCTCCCTCCCCTTCCCCCTCCAACAGGGCTCTGAAACTCATACGGGGAGTCTACTTATACACTATGGAACAAATATGGACCCCAACCAGGTGTTTCTTATTAAACTCTTTGACGGGCTTAGCATCCCAGTGTAAATGTAATTAATTTGCTACTACTCAAAGAATAATGGGAGTCCCCGTGGCGGAGCGGCTGGACGCTCGCCGCGGATCGGAAGGTCGTGGTTTCGCTCCCTGGAGGAGACTTACTTTTTTCAAAAATGACCTTGGCTCCCTGGTCGACCCAGCCTTGAGTGGGTACCGGATGCAGTCGCGGAAAGTAGAGGCGGCCGACTTTATGCTGACCAAATCAACCATCTTGTGCCGATGGTCTATAAAAATATAGGTCTAGCCCTGTATGCTCTATACGCCTAAAGGCGTGGAAAAGGGGCCTTTATTTTTTTTTTTTACAAAGAATAAATAATAAATGAACACCAGCATGAGATAGAAGGTTAAAACGAGACCGTGCCTGGTTTGGAGGGAGGAGAATAACGGGAATTACCTATCTAATCAAAACATCTGGTAAGAAGGCGGAAGGAAGTCTAGATAGAGGTGGATGGCGTATGCGGTTTATGCAACAGTGTAACTATAAAATAAAACGACGACTGGGGAAAATAGAAGAAGCAGAAGCAGCCGGATCAGAAGAGCAATGCTATGTGTATCTGCTAGTCGGAGCTTCCATTCTAGACCAGATGACAAAGCAGGCTTATGACCAGATCTGCCCTATTAGTCATATCTTTACATTTTTTTTTCTCCTGTGGAGTTTCGTCTCTTCAGTAATCGACGACTAAATTTATATCGTGAAGTATCTTTAAAGAATTTTGATAAATCTTTTCAAATGATCTACTCACCTTGACGAGAATGACAACTATGCCACCAAATATGATAACGGTCTGAAAGACATCCGTCCAAACGACACTTTTAATACCTCCCTGGTGACACGTTTTCATGAAACAAAATAAAAAGTTAACAATTGAAGGATTTTATAAGAACAACAGTGTACAAAATGACTGAATTTTCTAAATGTTCTGAGACTTTTTTTTTTCTTTTTCATAGTTATTGGGATATTTTTAAGAACGTAATGGAAGTGCCACTGTGTAGTGACCAGACGCTAGTCTGCTAATCCGAAAGTTGTGGATTCAAACCCTGATGGAACGAGACTTTTTTTTCTGAAATGACCTTGGCTCCCAGGTCGACTCAGCTTTAAATAAATACTTATAATCCAATGAGAAGTAAAGGCGGCCGGTGTGATTTTGACCACATCTTCCTCCAAGTACCGAATGGTCAACAAAATATTGAGTTACCGCTAAATGCACAATACGCCAACAGACGTGCAAATGGGCCCTTTAAGAAGGTAATCATTTTTGGTCATGTTGTGATGAAGAACTGATTAATGAACTTGGTCATAACAGGTCGGGCTGCTGGCAAAAGAGTAAGGGGAAGGGATAGGCAAAATAACATGGATGACTTAGCCATGTGGATGGAGTGCGACAAAGATATACAACTGATCGGTTATTCTGGTAATCGTGTGAGATGGTGAAACATGTCAGCCTGGGATTAATGGCACATCACGTGTTAGTGATGATGATGATGATGATGATGATGATGACGATGGATATTTACTTGACAATAATTTTTGACTGAAATTACCACTGGTCAATACGGGGGTGGGATGGGGGGGGGGGGGGAGAAGAACGAAACACGAAAACATGTTTGTGCCAAGACAAAAAGCTACCAAGAATTTGCTCTGACTGTCTTCCTAGATCTCCATGATTATTCATATTTTCAGCCAGGGCTAGTCTCATATTTGTAAACATATATATTGCACAGCCTCTTATAAAATCCAGCATAGAACATTGACATAATAACAGATTAGCATTATTGTTCGTCCATCAAGAGTGCAGAGGACTACTCTTTCTTTCATCCGTCACGACACTCAAGTTCTGTGAGTCCAGTCCGGGCCAGGAAAGAATTAGAGCAGTGAAGGCAGAGAACAGTGTTTGGTTAGATGTTCGCCATGTAGTTCAGTTGAGTTGAATTTAGCCAAGAATTGACTTCACAGCACTCGAGGCATTCCTATATGCGCTCCGTCCCCATCTTCAGCAGCCAGCGCAGAGTTCCAGTATTAATGGTAACTGGTGGTAGTCTGGTTATATGTCCGTCTTGCCTTTCCTCTGAGTGTAGTGAACATGCCAGATCCTCTGGTCACACCCAGGTGCATCATTCTGTCAATCCAATCGCGCTTCTGATTTCGTTAAGTGTTCTTAAAGGTCCTTGACCACATCTGCCTTGTCATGTATCAATTCACCACCCAGTGGTGCAGATGCAGCCAATCTGTCTGCCTTTTATTTCCCACCACGCCAGAGAAAAAGACCTAAAGTCTGCTAAAAAATGTAGCCCGGTCGTGTACAGCAGGCTCTCACGTGTCAAGCCTATATTTAATGTTTTAAGTGATGCCTTTAGCGAGTAACTGAATAATTTTTTCTGGCCACCATGATTGCGTCTACCTTCTTGTCTATCACCATATACGATTATTTGTGGGAGCCGATAGTCTGGCAAGCGGACGATGTGACCAGCCCTTCGAATCTGTAACTGCACCAGAATTGTATCGAGGCTGGGAATCCCAGCTCTATCCACTACAGCAGTATCAGGGACCCTGTCTTACCACTAGATGCTCACGATGTTTTTTAATCGGACTGAATGGAAGTGGATGAGATTCTTTGCATATCGCTAGTGACTTGAGGAAAAACTGGAGTTGAATAAGAACCATATTATTTTACTTAATTTGACTAATTTGGGAAACTGCCCACATTCAACCAGATCCTTTATCAAAGGAGCTCTTGGCTATAATTGTAAACTATTTTTCTTGTATCAAGTTAATAACTTAGTCTGAACTTGTTAAGTCTCAAACACTAGGAACACTACAAGCTAGAGTTTCTCAGGGCTCTTTGAGATTGATGGAACCGGGTGGGGGCTCAATTTGATCATCATCGTTTGAAGAGAATGGTGCAACGAAGAGTAATTAGCGGATCTGGCTGAACCTCCAACTCAGAGGAAAGACAAGACAGACATACAGTGAAATTACTGATGGTACCATCGGAATTGGAAGTCATCGCTGACTGCTGAAGATGGGAATCGAGCCATTGTTAAAATACCTTGAGTGCTGTGATTTCGTTTTTTTAAAAACCCAGTTCAGCTCATACTACGGCCACTACAAACTAAATTTATATAAATTTTGTAAAATAAGTCAAACACCCCCTCCAACTTTGTTTGTTTGTTTGTTTGTTTGTTTGCTTATAAACCAGGTTTTAATCATCGTCGTGTTAAATTTATTTCAAAATTAACATTGGCTTCCTGCTGATCCAGCCTGAATGGGTTCGACACAATGAACCGCGAAGTAAAGGATACCAGCTTGATGTCGACCACATCACCCACAGAGTGCCCACTGGAGTTTAAAATATGAGACTAGATTCATATGCCAGAGGCCACACTGGGTAACAAATGTTCCTTTTTAAAAGACACCAAGATGTCAATAAGCACATATTCCGTTGAATGCAAAACAACATTATGACAAGCATAATATATGATGGGGTATGTTGGGCGAATAAATTCAGCATTTTTAAGAAAGTTAATTCCTACGATATACAGAGTTGTAATAAAACAAAATGACAAATGTAATTTTGCAGTTAGGGATGGAAGAAAAAAAAAAACACATACTGACAAGCATAATATACAGTTGAGTATATTAGGCGAATAAATTCACCAATATCAAGAAAGTTAATTCCTATGATATACAGAGTTTATATAAATAAAAATGACAAATTTAATTTTTGCAATCGATCGATCATGGAGGAAGAAAGAAAAAGCAAGATAAAGAAGAATTTTCAAGAAAACATAACAAAAACAGTGAACAAGTGCAAAAAAAAAAAAAAAAAAAAAAAAAAAAAAAAAAAAAAAAACTGGCTGGATAAGACGTGTATGGAGATTGTAAAAAAAGAAAAAAATAACATGGAAGACTTACATTTCATGTACCAATATAAAAAAAATTTTTTTCACTAGGGAAAAAGACATGTAAGAGCCATGGGTATTTAAATCAAAGGATGGCAAAATATTAATAGTTTCAATCGGCATGACACTTTATTATACTTAGTATGAACCAGGGTGGAAAACGAGTACTTTACTTGTCAAACACGGATCAAATGTGCAAAACAATATTAACTTTTATCTTCATGAGTAGTAGAATATAAGACTCGGTGTTAGACCTAGAAGAAGTAACTTACGATTGCAGTGTACGCCGTGCCGACTGCGCCTACCAAAACAATGGACATCCACAAAGGAAGATCAACAGCTGCAAATATAAACACATATATACATAAATAAAATAGACTAGATCTGATATTTTCATAGTTTCTTTGTCGAAAGTTAGACATAAAAAAATTTGGAACAATTTTTAAGATCATTGTTTATCTGAAAAGCCAACAGGGGGAAAAGTAGAAATCACAAGACGTATCTTTAACGACAAATGCCGTTGATAAATGATAAATTTTTTAGTGTCAGGTACCATTCAGTCTGTCTCAGACTCTCAAAGCTAAGGGTGTCACCAAAAGCTCCACAGCCATCTAAGAGTTATCGGCGCTTGCAGTCTAAATAAATGAGTTCAAAATCGAACCCACGACCTTCAGAACGCCAGGTAAATGTCATAACCACTTCACTACGGATATTAGGCTCCAAAACCTTGGGACTCAGGCCCTTGAATATTAAATATTTAAGGGTGGAGCTGAGGACCCCCCCCCCCCCCCCCCCCCTTCCCCCCAAAAAAATTCCTCACACACAAACCTTTTCATCCGCAGTAATTTTGTCAGCGGGCTAAAAGGCACTATTAACCCTGCAAAGAAATTATCTCCAAGAGTATTTGTTACACTATTTTATGTTACTTAAAGTATCTTATATTTTTTTTGCCCGGCAAATTTCTATTCATGAACAAGAGAGGCTTCTTAGCCCCTTGCAAGATTTTTGGTCGAGAGCTGAGCCTATCCCCAAACGTGTTTGTTGGGTTGAAGGCTAAAAAGGTATGAGGTCCTCTCCCATTTTGGTCTATAAAAATGTGTAAGCAACAACAGGGTTTATAGAATTTGTTCCTGATAAATGTGCAGCCATTTGTGGCTCTTTAAATAATCGAGTGTAATTTGTTGGGGGGGGGGGGGGGGGGGGAGAAGAAGGGGGGGGGGGGAGGGTTGCTGTCACAATTTGTTCTTTGTTAAGTTGATAACTTTCTTTGTGTAAAGATTTGGACAATTGTGCACGGGACACTGTTAAAATAAAAACATATTTGTATTCCAGATTATAAGATTTGTTACCGGTTTGCAGCGCCAGAGCCGGTGACAAAAGGGCCACTGTCATATACGAAATCTGAAACATAATATTTTAGGTCAATTACATGTAATAGTATCATCAGCAGCAGCAGCAGTAGCAATAGTAGTAGCAGTACCAGCAGTACCAACAGCAGCAGCAGTAGCTACAGTAGTAGCAGTACCAGCAGTACCAACAGCAGCAGCAGTAGCAACAGTAGTAGCAGTACCAGCAGTACCAACAGCAGCAGCAGTAGCAACAGTAGTAGCAGTACCAGCAGTACCAACAGCAGCAGCAGTAGCAACAGTAGTAGCAGTACCAGCAGTACCAACAGCAGCAGCAGTAGCAACAGTAGTAGCAGTACCAGCAGTACCAGCAGCAGCAGAGACAGCAGAAGTGTTTACAATAACAATTTGTTCAAACTTCATGGCTGTTTATTTTTGGGTATGTAATGCCTAGTGTAATTTAAATATTGAATCATTTGTGTTCAATGTAAGTACGATTTTTGGTAAATTTATTTATTGGCGTGGAAAGGGTCCTTTACTTACTTTGATAGCAAATGTTGAGTTTAATATTTTTGCTGGATTTTCTTAATTTCTTAACTGTTTGACACCTATAGCATTGTCTAAATCCATACAAAAGCTATTTGCTACCAAATCGCCCTTTGTTGTATCATCGAAATGGGAATAGAAATGGCCTAATTTCTAAACTAAAGAAGCACAGAGGCACCGAGACAAACAAAACACT